TGTTTTTTCTTTGAAGATGTTTCACTTCTCATCCAAGATGCTTCTTCAGCTCTAACTGGATGGTAGGGAATGGCAGGATTTATATTCATTGCAGACAGCTGGTCATTTGCAACCTTTTAGAGAATCATTGACTACGTCAACATTGAGCAGCCCTCTCTCAACAGAGGGAGAGTTATATGACAGCTTTTATCTCCAGTCTACAACATAGCCCTTTCAGCAGTTCCCAGAAGGCTCCGCACCCCTATGCACCACTGAGGACACAGATAAACCTCAACAATTCTCTCAAAAAATGCAAATGACTGGCTGAGGAATTCTGGGAGTTGAAGTCCACAAGGTTGCCCAGTTTCAAGACCTCAGGTCTAATCAAAGCAAGAAAGATGGTATCAATGAGAAGGTCAGATGCTGGTTTGGGTTTCTCAGCCCATCATGGGCAGGATTTCCCCTCTGTACTTTACAGGTAGTCCTCAACTTATGACCACAATTGAGCCCAACATTTATGCTGCTAAGTGAAAAATTTGTTAAGTGAGCTTTGCCCCATTTTACGACTTTTCCTGCCACGTTGGCTAAGTGAATCGCTAGCGTGGTTCAATTAGTAGCACGGTTGTTAAGTGAATCAGGTTTCCCTACTGACACGGAGATCGCGAAAGGGGATCACATGACCCCGGGACACTGCAGCCGTCATAGAGGCGAGTCAATTATCAAGCATCTGAATGTAAATCACGGAATGCAGCGAGGGTCATAACTGTGGAAAACAGTCATAAGTCATTTTTTTCAGTGCCGGTGTATCTTTGAACTGTTGCTAAGCGAAGGGTTGTAAGTCACAGGCTACCTGTATCAGCTTTCATTCCCAGCAACAAAGGTTCTCTTGCTTGTCTTCTTTCTCCCCCTGCAGGGAAGCTCCACTTCTGTCTTGGCAATGGAAGATTCGGTGATGGTCCTCAAAGTGGCAGGAGGGTCAGTCAAGGTGGGAAGAAACCCTCAGCTGCTACCAACTGGAAGCACTGGGCGATTCCCACAAAGCCTGCCACTACCACAGAAGAAAATTAAGCAGGAACCAGACGAAGTGGTCCTTCCTTCTTGGGACACCCAGTGGCAGCACTTTCGGCAGGAAACAGCGTCCGCTTGCTCAGGATGGGGGTCTCCTCAGCCGCCCCAGGAGCCCACCCCGTGGGATGATGCCAAGGGCTTCCTGGCCTCCTTTGAGCAAGTGGCCAAAGCCTGCCGATGGCCGAAATACGAGTGGGTGGCCCGTCTCTTGCCCGCCCTCAGTGGGCAAGCTGAATGGGCCTTTAGTGGCCTGGAGGCCGGAGAGCAAGAGGATTACGGGAAAGTGAAGGCGGCCATCTTGCGGGGAAGCGCCCTGAGCCGAGAGAAGCAGCGCCAACACTTCCGGCGTTTCTGCTATCAGGAGGCGGAGGGCCCACGGCGGGCTTGCTCCCGTCTTCAGGAGCTTTGCCAACGGTGGCTGAAGGTAGAGAAACACTCCAAGGAGCAGATTCTGGAGTTGTTGATCCTGGAGCAGTTCCTGACTATCTTGCCAGGGGAGATTCAGAGTTGGGTCAGAGGCCGCGGCCCTGATACCTGCTCCCAGGCTGTGGCCCTGGCCGAGGATTTTCTGCAGAAGCAGCAGGAAGTGGAGGAGTGGGAGCTCCAGGCGAGGAGAACTGATCCTGATTACATCCGTGAGGTTAGTGGTGGAGACGCAGCCTGTCTCAGAGAGGCATATGAAGCATTGCTATCAATTTCCAAAGTGGATGGACTTNGCTGAGTCAACCCTGAGCCGGTGAGATTTGAACCGCCGAACTGCAGAACTGTGCAGTCAGCTGAAGTAGCCTGCAGGGCTGCATTTAACCACTGCGCCACCTCGGCAATAGGCAATAGCTCTATGCATGTACAGCTCTATGCAGACTGTCGTAGCTTTATATATAGATAAATGAATGGATATGACATTTTTACAAAAATAACCAGTATTTGGGATATTCTTCCCCCCTGTTTGATATTCTCTTCTTCCTTTTCTTTCTGGACAGACTGCTTGGATTAGTTGTCCGGGTAAATCTGTATCACTGCATGGTTCAGCCGACTGAAAAGGGCCAGGACGCAAAGAGATAGATACCTCATCTCTCCTCTTCCTTGCAGAAAGAGGCTGCAGATGATGCAGGGGTGTCAAACGGGCGGCCTGCAGATCAGATGCGTCGCCTGCAGGCCACCCCCACCCCAGCTCCACGAAGGGGAAGAACGTCACAAAACATTACCTGATGGCAACACGACGCCGCGAGTTTGACACCCCTTCGGTAGAGCGAGGCTGTCCAACCTTGGCAACTTAAACAATTGTGGATTTTGACTTGGGCTGGCTGGGGATCCCTGGCAGTTGAAGTCCACAAGTCTTAAAGTTGCCAAGGTTGGAGACCCTGGCTGTAGTAGAGAACAGAGAGGGAGATTTGTTCCAAGTTGGACAGCAGCAATGATAGCGAAGTAGATAGTAGATAGCAGAGCAAATTCACATCTAACCTTATGCCCATTCTTGGAATTGAATGAACTGCAGCAGGATGCCTAAAGGGGAGGCAATATGGCGAAGGGTGGACAAATGCAGTGAGCAGTCATTTATTCATTGCCGTATTTCATAAAACCCAGAGATGGGAGAGAGTGCTAAGGTGGGCCAATCGTATCTCCCCCTGCTGTGCCTTGAGCTATGTGCTAGATCAATTGGAGCACCGCTTTCTCCTTTTTTGAATCCAGGATTCTAACAATCCCTCCACAGACGGCAAGCTCCTGAATGACAAACCTGCTCTCTTGTGGTGCAAAATGTCTGTCCCTCTATTCTGACCTAGGCTTCCCCAAAAAGCACGAAGCAGATTCCTGGTCCCGACAAAAAACCCTTTTATTAAATGAATGTGACTTCCTCTTATTCACATTCAGCAAAGGCCTGGCAAACAGTCTTTCAGAGGTGAAGCTATGACCACCGACCTTATCTAGCTTGGAAAGCGGCCATGTCAATATTTTTCCAAATGAGGTGCTGTGCAAGGAAAGGCTGGGCACAGAGTCTCTGGGATTCACGGACAGATCTTCACACTCCTGAAATGAATCTAATGACCGAACGAACAAATTGTTTCCTGCAAAAGCCCACTCCCCTTTCGCTCCTCTTTTATTTCCTATGGGAGGAGCCATTCACCATCCACCTGTGGCTTTATTCCCAAGTCGACCCTGATTTCTTAG